TTAATATATTGTTACATAGAGAAACAAGGTTACATGTTGATTACATATTATATTATTTTGAGTATTGTAGAAACTTATTGAGTTCAAGATAATGTAAGATATCTTGAAATCATGAGATTTTACTTGAATAAGAAATACATGTTGGAAAAATTGTTATTTTTCCTATGGTTTGTGTTGCACATATATTAGTACAATTAAAACACATATTCTCCTAAACAAGAAGTTTACAAATTAAAATAAATTTATTATTTTGCATGACTAGTAAGGTCATCCAAAGTTTATTGTGATGCAAAAATAATTGAAAGTTTATCTAGCCACTTATTAAAGAGTCAAAAGATTCATCAATATATTAATTTATTATGTCCTTATATTGTTTTCAGTGGAAGTTAATATCACCTGGATAATTAGGAAGGAAACTCTTATATTTTTAAAATGAATTCAAGGTGATATTTCTAAATCAATACATGCACCATATAGACCATTGAGATATCTAATGATTTTAATTGATGAATCAACTACATGGTCACATGTTTTTCTGTTGTCAATTTGCAACTTGATGCTTGCGAGATTGTTACCTTAATTAATCTAACAAGGTTTATTTTCCTAATTTCCAAATTAAGAAGATTCATCTTGATAATGTTAATGAATTTACATCTCTTATTTTTAATGAGTATTGTATGTCTATTGAAATTTATATTGAACATCTTATAGCACATGTTCATACATAAAATGGACTTGCAAAATTATTTATTAAGCATCTAAATGAATTGCAAGACTATTATCCATGAGATCAAGACTTTCAATGTCTACTTAAGGACACATAATCTAACATTTTATAGTAATAATTTTGCATCAAACCAACAAGTTATCATAAGTTCTTCCATTTGTAATTGATTTTTGGTAACCAACTTTATATTTCTTATTTAAGAACTTTTGAATGTGTTGAATTATTAACCTACATGTCAAGATGAATCATCAAATAAGGTTAAGAATATGCGTTGAGTATGAATTTACATCTATATTAAAATATGTTGAATTATCAACAAAAATCCTATTTATAATTCGGCATGCAAATTTTAATTTTAAATAACTTTTTCCAACAATAGGGAGAAAAAGTAAGCAATTAGAAAAAAAAAATATTAGTTAGAATAAATTATAATATTGATCCTCAAACTAAACAATAAGAACCAAAAGTTCAAAAAATAATTCATTTACAAAAGTTTAGCCAAAAGAATAGCTAAATCATGTATACCAATAGTTAATGCTCCAACAAAATTGATGCCCATGTTGGACAATATTGTAAAAAGTCTTAAATACACATGAAGTGTGATAAACTTATTGGTTCCAAAAATAACAAATTCTTGATTTAGAAAACAAGCTAAAAATCAAGGTGGTTAAATCAATGATATAGAAAGTTCAAAAGATTTTTCTAACATAAATAATAAGTTCAAGAAGAACTCGAGTACCTAAAATTTGTTAAAACAAAAAGATCTCAAATTATGTCATAAATGAAAATACAATAAAACCAACGTTGACGATATATTTGCATATAATGTAGTACTAAAGATGATAAATAATAGTAAGGATCAAGAACCACAATCTATCAAAGATTGTTGAGAAAGAAATGATTAACAAAATAATATAAAAACTCAATTGAGGCAAAATTAAACTTGTTTGTTAAAGTAAAAGGTTTTTGGACCTATAGTTTAGTTGAATTATTTTGGACTTGTAGTCGATACACTTAAAGATGTAAAACTAGTTGCATGTGTAATGTTCTTATGCAAAAATAAAATAAGGATGATGAAATTGTGAGATATAAAACATGTCTTAAAAATCAAGGATTTTGACAAAAAAATCTCACCTTGATTTTAAATAGACATTCACTTTTAGTGGATGTAAGTATTTTTTATACTAAATTAGTCAAGTTATACATAAAGAACTTAATTTACTTCTAATGTATGTTACAAGTATTTTCATGACTCACTTGATAGTGAAGCTTATATAAAGCTCCTCGAAGGATTTAATATATCCAAAATATTGATACAATCTCTTGAGAAAATTATTCAATCAAATTAAGTCACATGGTGAACTAACAATATAGATGATGTGGTATAATAATTTTTACAAATATATGTTAAGAGAACGATGATTTTTTATGTATTTTTATGAAAAGATATAAAATTGAGTTTATCGTTATTTTTATTTGTATAAATGACATAAACATTTTGAAACTTTTGAAGAAATTCAAAAGGCTATAGATTTGATAAAGATGAGATCGAGTTAAAGGATGTAAAACGAACAAAGTTTTGCTTATCATTACAATTTTGAATATTTAAATTATGGAGTTTTATGTGCATTAATAAGTTTATATGACAAGGATCGATGTTTAAAAATATTTATATGGATAAATCACATTTGTTGTGTACTCCAATAATTGTAAGGTTTTTAGATATGCACAAAAATCTTTTTAGATATCAAAAAAAGGATAAAGTGTTATTTGGTTTTGAAGTAACATATTTTAGTATTATACAAACACTAATATATCTTGTTGATTATAAATTACTTGATATATAATTTGTTATCATTTTACTTGTCAGATATAGTTATTCACTTAGGTGAAATTATTGGAACAAAGTCATTAATATTTTTCATTATCTTAGAAGATTTTTTTTGTTAAATCCTCATAATGATAAATCGCAAACGAGGCATTTGTTTACATATGGTGATATATTATGCATGAGAGATTGTTGAATCTGTTGTTTGATTGAAAGAAAAATGCATTAAAGAAGATAGAGCAAAACATATTTTCTCTTGGTTCTTTTTAACTTACAATCTTCAAAGGAGTGGTGATGTAGTTATTCAACAAGTTTACTTATGAGAACCTAATAGATCTCTTTACAAAGTCACTCACAAGTACAATTTTTGAATAATTAACAAATAATATTGATTTTATTTTCCTTAAACGTGATTGTCTGCATAAGGGGGGAACATTCTGAACTCTTTTCCTTTTATCATGATTTTATCCTTGAGTTTTTCTGGCAAGATTTTAAATAAGACAGTATATGATATTTTATTAAAAAATAATACTATTTTTCCCTTCACTAGATTTTTGTAATGAGGCATATTCTCAAACAATGTAGATTCAAGGGAAGTGTTATGAATATTTAATGGTAGTTTATTCATTGTTATTGTTTATATTTTACCTTAATATTATTATTTTATTTGTAACTATTTATGCTTATAAATAGACTATCTCATTGTTGAAAATAATACAAAAATATTTTTCTATTTATACCTTCTTTTCTTTCTCTCTATTGCCTCTATATTACAGTTTATGGTCTTGTATTGATTTTCATAACAAAAACGTATTATTCTTCTACTTGTTATGAGTTTCAATAAATTATTCTTAGATATTGTTTATTATCATGAATATTGTTTTATCATGATTCTTACATTTTTATTCACATGTTAAGGGTGTGAGAAGATACCATTCTCATAAATATATCAAAAATTACATCTTAATACACTTGTAATTTCTTTTAATAATTATTTTTTATTTAAATTATTTTAAAATTTAAATAATATTTTAAAGAATATTATAATATAACTAAACAATTTTTCTTAAAATATACTCAAAAATAATATTCTAGTTAAAATATTCTAGGTTATGTGATTTTCAAAAATGCAATATTCTTAATTTCCAAAAATGCAATATTCTTAATTAAAATTATACATTGCATTTAAAGAAAATAAGTGATGCACAAACCGAGTCATCCAATCTCAAATCATCATTTATTGTATGTAATTAAATTTTATAAATAAAAAGTCACATCAATAATTATTATTAATTATTTAATAATATAAAACTATTTTACTCAATGAATACAACCCCATTAAATTATTTTATCAACCATTTAACTGCCATTAAATGTTTATTTCTTGAAAAAAATTATTAGCAATTTTCTAACATTACAACAATGTGAAAATAAAAACTTTCCTTTTAAATAATGCATGAACATTTTTTATTCTAAACCAGTTAAGATATACAAGTTCATATTTAAAAATAAATAAATCTTATTTGATAAAAAGTAATTTTATCACAAAACATTATCCTAAAATGAATTTCAACTGTGGAATGAATTGATTAATTTTAAAATAATTAAACTTACTGTTCATCAATTTTAATTCCTTAAATCCTAAGATTTAAATTTTTTAAGTTTAATTATTTTTTATCTCTATAATTCTATAAACTTTATGTTTTAGTTCCTATGCATACAATTTTTTTCCTTTTAATCCTTATAGTAGCATAAAATTTTTCTAGTTCCTTTAATTGCATGAATTTCCCTATTTAGTCTGTACAGTTGGATAAACTTTTCCTACGCCTCTCTAAAAATAGATGATAAAGATTAAAAAAAAACTAAAATAATATGTATTAAAATTATTATGAAATACTTTAAACTATATTAGACTAAATAGTAAAATTTAAAAGACTAGAGAAAACAAAGGATTATTGACTTATTTTATAAGCAAAAATGATTTATTAACATAGTAAATGCATGAATTATTCACTAGTACTAGCAGCCAACTCAAGACTCAACACACGTAACATTTAAAGCTTAACTGTAATTTTTGGAAAATGTTACCTTTTTTTGTCAAAGGAAAACGTTAATGAAAATAAAAGTGTAACAAGAAGCCCAAAACGACATTAGAGTACTAAGCCCAAAAGAGAGGCCGTACTAAAAATATATAAGATATTTTTGGCGAAAGTGTGCAATATTTAATGTAATAAATAGTTTATTGGTCATAAAAATTTACCAAACACGCACCTCGACACCAAATTCAACTTTGTCACAGTAAAAGTGTGCAATATTTCATGCAATAAAATAAAACTACCAGAAAGTCGAATTGGAGCATGTTACGTAACTTCGTATGACTCGGATGTGACTAATTGTGAAACTTGACCAACAGTGCAAGAATTTTGTTTTGACACAAGTACCCCGGAACGTATGACTTTTGTCCATTTGTTGAGTTTCAACTATTAAACAAAGGGGTCATACATGGTTTGCTGCACCAAATAAAACACATTTTTTACGGCAAAGGATTCGAACTCAATAATTAAGAGAGGCCAAGTTTTGTGATCGTGTCAACTTCCTAAGCTTGCCCACAGCAACTACATTCCCACCCACCCGGAGTAAAATCATGAAGTATGATCACTACTTGACTTCCGTTTGCTTTTTTTTCTTCAAGAAAAAGGCTAAGATGTAATTAATGGAGTAATGCATCCTTTAAACCTAATGCACCAGAGTTCAAACTTGACCCTCAGAAAACGATGTTTTGCATCTATGACGAAAAACCTTTTTTAGCCCTACCCCGTCCAATCCCTATCCTGTTTCCTGAAATCACGTGCTCCTCAACAAACCGACAAACGCGGGTTGGATGGGTACCCTTTCAAGAAGAAAAAATATTGAGGAGTTTTTTCTTCGGTTATTATTAATTTAAGTAAATAAAAACCACAAGGAAGAAGAAAAAATAGGTTTATGAGCGCAGGAAAATTCCACAGGGATGATGATGAACAGGGTTTGGGACTGACTTATCCGGAAACCCCCACAAGCCTTTTTACAAGCAAAGTGGCACGAACAATGGAAATATGCATCATCACCATTCACCAGTGCCTTCCCTGAGAACCACCACCACCACCACCTTTGTTCTTCCCAAAGAAGGCATTCTTGGGTTTTGACTTTGGTAACTCATGGATGTCCATCACCTGAATCGTTCTTTGCCTTTTGGCTATACACCCCACAAACACACCAAATTAACCGTCAGTTATATATATCGAGACAAGTATCATGATGGAAAATGAAAACTACGGAAACAAAAAATCCACCATTTTCAGCCTCTTTGTAGTTCTCTTGAAGCCTCCTTCTCGCGGAAGCAAGCCTTGCATCCGCGTCAAAATTGCTCTCTCTCTGTCTCTGCAATCATTCAACAACACTGTGTCAGGACCACTTAAGACACCCCTTTTACTTAAACCCCACCGCACCACATTTATATTTCAGAGACACCAAAATGGTTGTAAAATAATTTCCGTACGTTTTGAGTGGCGGAAGCAGGGGTGGAAACTGAGGGTGATGGCGTGGGTTTTGGGCGAGGAATTACTTTGGGTTTGTGTTCTACTTCTGAGTTGTTCCGGTCAGAGCCAGAGCTCCCATCTGCGTCAGCCGAAAGCAGCATATGAATCAAACCAAATGCAAACAACAAACAGTATCCAAAAGATTTGAATCAGATGCTATGCTCACTGTGTGGATTTGGCGAGTATGCGAAATCAGGAATCTGCAAAAAGAATAATAGAAGAATGAATATTAGCAAGCAAGCATCCCTCAACTTTCAAAGAAAAACATTTCTTTGACTTCAACTTCAACCTGCTGATGCCCATTTTGGGTGGCTTTCTGCACAGGCGAGTCTCCATCAGCTGCCAACATCATCATTAATTACCATTAACAATCTCACATGCCCTTCAATTATTTCTCACAAAATCCCTTAATAATAATAATAATTAAGAATACCCATCAGAGTGTTGCTCCCTCCCTGTCGATTCGTCTTCACCCACTCATCCACAATTTCCTTCCACTTCCTGCAAAATTAACAAACAAATCAACTCGAGCTCCCGCAACACGACAACATTAATTTCCGCAACAACAAAAAAAATCACGAAATTATTATATCTCTTTCGAAACCTGACAAGCAGCTTCACCAATCGCCGAACGTCGTTAGAAGGATGTTTCCGTAACCGATTCACGTGTCTCCCGATGTCAGTCTCCTACAGGAATCAGAGATAAAAATTCAAATACCGTTAAGCAACCCATAAAAGAAGGAGAGGGGAAAAAAAAAACGTTTCAAAACAGAATTTACCTTTAACGCTTGAAATGTAATATCCATGTCCGCGAGGTTTTGCAGCAACTCCACCAAGGAATCTTCAGACTACAAAGGAAAACAAAACAAGCAATCATAATCATAAATTTATTTCCAATTTAACTTCCAATCTCAAATTTAAAAATAAACACTCGTCGAATTGAACAATACCTGGTCAGGCTCTTCGAGTTGCTCTTTAATTTCCAGAACCTTCTTCTGCTCGTCGTCGAACAAGCCGCCGTAAGGATCTAAATCCTCGCCGCCGTCGTCGGCGTTGTCGTTGTCGACAGACTGCGGCGTGGCGGGGGAAGCGGTGGCACGATGTTGCGGTTGTCGTTCGGGGCTAGGGCTAGGGCTAATCTGTTTGTTGACTTGGTGGCCGTTGAGGCGGTGGCCGTTGTCGCAATTCCGGCAGCGCGGCGGCGGTGCCGTGGCGGCGTAGAGGCGCTCGACTATGCCGTCTCGGCGACGCCTCAATTCGGCGGCAGAGTCGGCGGAGGCGACGGCGATTGCGGCGTCGATGAACATCCAGACGTCGACGCCCGCGGTGTCCAATATGGATCGGAAATCGTCCAAATCCATACCCGAAGCGCGCGCGAGGAGCGAAGAGGGTTTGGAAAATGGATAAATGGAGCTTAAGAAGCGTTTGTTCTGTGTGGAGAAAGAATCTTTTGATGTGGTTTGTAATGTAACAGGAGAGGATCTAAACGGAAACGGCAGGGGTGGATCGAAACGACGTAGATCTGAAGGGAGTGGAATTGAAATTGATTAAGGGTTGCAAGTTGTGGATAATGGAGAAGGGGATGAGGAAGGAGTATATTCTGGAAGAAAAACCTTAATTACCATTAATTTAATTGGATTAGTATTGTTAATTGTAATTAGGAAGGGTATGGGCGCAGCACAGGGTGTAACGTTCCAATACCAGCTCCTTACTTGGCTGCCAAAGCCAAACACTGTTTGCTATGGGATATGACAGATCAACAGATACCTCATACACATACAACCATGCCCCTCCCCTCCCCACTTTAGGCCACGTTTCTATCGGATCAAATCTTTCTTTACAAATATCCTAAATAATATTTTATTTTATTTTATTCTCTAAATTATTTCAATTACCATTTTTATTTATTTCTCAAATGATAAAAATGTCATAATTGAAATCATTAAATAAATTAAAAAAATCTCTGCCACAGTTATTTCTCAATTCTTTAAATCATATATTAATCTTAATTAATAATATTCTAATCTTTTTGCACTTGATTACTTTTTATACAGAAAATTTGAATTTGAGATTTATCTTAAAAGAATTGAATCAAGACCATTTAAATGAATGAGTTGTTAGTAAGATTATATGGTGATGGTAAAAGTTAGATGATTCAACTAATTAATTTATTTTAACCCATCAATAAAATAGGATGAAATAGGGTGGAGCGATTTTGTCCTATCTAATTGATTCGTCGAGTTGTCCACTTAACTTTTAATTATTGGAATCGTTTGAACTTTGAAGGGGTAATAATGTAATGACATTTCCCTTGATTTTATTTACGCATTTTAAAGTGGCATTTGGCATTGTGCTTTGCATTTGTCAACTACAAATAATGGGATACAATTAATGCATTTAAGGGCATGTTTCGTATTTGAGAGGATCCATTTTCTATTTTACTACATGATGCACATAAGTACATGTCTCTTATTTTGCTACATAATAGGAGACGTTATTTGATTATTTGTCATTTCATTTTCAGTCATAATTGTCAATACATGAGTAATAAAATAAAAAGTTTGCTTGGTTGATTTTTAATTTTTCAAATTTTAAATATTTTTGTTACTTTTTAGGTAATTAATCATGAATTTCATTTTTTTTATTTTAAACAAAACAAACTAGTACCAAATGCAACGAGTTTGAATTTTCAATCCACTACAGCATGAAAAGAGTGATTAAGAGATTAAGATTCACTCAAACTTGAATTAACCAATATTAAAAAAAGATACAATCGATGTCAAATACTTTTTTATTATAATATTACAAAATAAATTTTTTTTACCAAAATATCATATCTTGAAATATATTTATCAATGTTACAATTACTCTTTATATTGAAAAATTGGTTTCTCACTAACCAATTTCTTACATTAAATTTTTCATTTTTTTATTTCTGCATTAAGAAATTAGTTAATCACTAATCCATTTATCAATTGCAATTTTTTTCACAATTTCATTTTTTATATTATTATTTTTATATAATGTTTTTTATTTAAATTATTAACTTATATTTTATTAAAACTAATTAATACATAAATAAATTTTAAATTTGTAATTTTATTTTACAATATATTTGTTTTTATTATAATTGTGTTATTTTTTAATGATAATTAATACATTGTATAACATGTGTGTTCAAATATATATTAGAAGAAAATAAAAATATTTTTCAAAAATATTTATAATATATTATAGTAAGTAAAATTAAGATTTCAAAAAACACATGAAATTGTTAAAATTGACTTTAAATCAAAATAACATGAAGAACATAATGAAAGGTACAAAAATAATAGAATATTTTATGGAAATGATTGTTGTTGGTTGAAATTTTCCACACAATAAGAACAATTTCTTTTTGTATGACCTGAATTCTTATACATGAAACATCTTTTCGATTAATCAAGTTTCCTCATATTCATTTATGTGTCTATATGCAAAGATTTTGGACAACCCTTTTTTTATTTTTATTTTTGCTTGTTTGGATTGGGATAGATTTGTGATTCATTACAATATGACTAATATTATTCATTGGACGGTTGTCTAAATAATCCTTTGTACACATTAGATATGTGTATCAACATGTAAGGGGATGTGTATATGTAAGACATGTAATCTTGGTGAGCACATATATAAGCAACAATGACATTTGAGTAAGTTATGTGTAATTTTATGAATTTGTCACAATACACCACATTTCATCCAATTTAACTCCGAATTGTCTAATTGGTCGTCCCTCATTTGGTTAAGCATCTCTGGCACAATACATGTGTTTCTCATTTGTTGAACTCAAACACATGTAATATAGGTGGACATAAACATCATTAGTTGTTGTCTATGAATTTGATTATGAGGCATATGTGAAATTTATTTATATATTTTTTATTTATTTTGGTTTAAGTGTGGTGTGTGTTATAAATTTGATTTCAAAGTATGTAAGGAAGTTATTTTTTTTTTATTACTGATATTATTATTTTGACAATGTAATTGATCTTTTAAAATATTTCTTTTAGTAGTGTATGTATACTATTTTATTTGTATTGCGTAATAAAATTATGTATTTTTAAATTATTTATAATCTCTTCTTACAAATTTTTTAAGTTGTAAAATAATAATTATGAGTCTATTTATATAGTAACTAATTTTAAGATAATAAATTAAATTTTGAAATATATATTATATAAAAATAATAATAATAATATTACAAAGTAAATAAAATTATAAAAATGCAATTAAGAAATTGATTTACGATTAACCAATTTCCCATGTAATAATAAAAATATGTGTGAATGCTTGGTAAATATATTTTAAAATTTTAGTATATTTATTTATTTATTATAATTTTATAGTAAAAAAACTCTTGACACCGATTGTCACTAAAATCTATCTAAAAGAATGTTGAAAATAACTAACTATGAAAGTCGAGCTTTAGTTTATTTTTCACATTACCTTAACTTCGTTCTCTCTCCACTACAAGAAAACTTGTCTTTAGAGACTAAATTTTCAGTCTCTAAATTAACAAAATCAGTTACTAAATCAATAAGTGACTGAATTAGATACTAATTGTAGAAAGTAGCTAAATCACTGGTTGTGCCATTGTTACAATGTGAAGTGGTGTTCCCTTCCGACCATCCGGAACAGGAAGACAGTGGGGATGACGTGGTCGAGGTATCGCCTCCCGTAACCTTGGCCGTGGCTTTGGCAGTTTTTTACATACCTCGAAGGTGGTCTATTTATAGTGTTTCTTATTGGGCCGTGATTAGGAGCTGGGCCCCGGAAAATTAGGGGGTTAATCCGGCTTATTTCTTAAATTAATCCCTTCGTAATCATACTGGTGGAGTCCCGGGGATCGGCCGAGCAAACCGACCCCTTCTGTTTGGCGAGTGTTCGGTGTGTTCGGGTATTGGTTTCGGTCTCTGTTGGGTTCTGGTATTCGGTCGGGTCGGTCGGCTCGGCCTCGGTCCCATACGGTATACAACCCCCGCAGTGTCGAGGATTCAGAAGACGAGGACGTTTACAAATATAAAGCGTCGTGGTTTTTCGTGAGGGAGTAAGGATCGGTCTCGACCGCTGGTGGTGCTCGTTTGTGGCTGGGGGTGCCAAGGTCTTCGCTTAATGAAGCTTTTCCCGAGACCTCAATTGGAGAACCGAGAGTGACTTGGGGAGGTATTTTCCGAGACCTCAACTGGAGGAGGTCTATGCCGAGACCTCAATTGGAGGAGGTCTATGCCGAGACCTCAATCGGAGGAGGTCTATACCGAGACCTCAATTGGAGGCGCCGCGAGCCCGACTGGAGGTGGGAATTGGAGGAGCCGCGAGCACGACTGGAGGAGGTCTATACCGAGACCTCAATTGGAGGAGGTCTATGCCGAGACCTCAAACATTGAGAGCCAGTGCCGAGAACTCTATGGGTGTGGTGTGCCACGTTGGCCCTAGGGGGTTTGGAGCATTTACTTGCTGTAAATTCTCTGAGATCTCTGAGTTAAAGAGTTTAGCCGAGCTCACCGATCAAGGTACAATTTTGTATTTTTTAATTTGTGGTAATAAATGGACAAGGGTTACTCTTCGGCAAGGAGTTGGACGTCGTCGGAGGTGTCGGGCGCTGCGTCAGATGGGGAGGGATCGGATTCGAGTGAGATATCGAGGCTGCCATTGTTACAATGTGAAGTGGTGTTCCCTTCCGACCATCCGGAACAGGAAGACAGTGGGGATGACGTGGTCGAGGTATCGCCTCCCGTAACCTTGGCCGTGGCTTTGGCCCGAGCGACCGAGGAAGACGATAGAGGCTTAGGTCGGGTCGGTCAGCCGGACCCATGTGCTGCAGCCATTCATGCCGAAATAAGCGGGGATGAGTTGGAGATGCTTGACGATGCACGAGGCAAGGGTGTGGTCGGCCCGAGTGGTCGGTTGAAACCAAAGATTGACTACGGCACGGTGGAAATGCCGGGGAATGAATGGGTAGACGGAGAGG